CCAACACCACAACCCTGACAACAATAAGGAAGGACTCCACATCAACCTCAACTTGGTAGAGGAGGCAAGGGATTTGGCTATAGTCCACAAGGCGGAGTACAAACGTCGCATGACAAAGTACTACAACTCGAAGGTGAAGCCTCGTTCCTTCCAACCAAGAGACTTGGTCCTCAAGAAAGTGATCCTCGTCGTAATGGATTCACGTGAAAGAAAGTTGTGACCAAACTAGGAAAGACCCTACCTCATAACACAAGTGGTGAGGTCAGACACCTACAAGATACAGAGTTCTGAGGCGAAGATTTTGCCCCATTCATGGAATGTTGAGCACTTTAAAAGGTACTACTAGTGACACCTTAAGAGAGTTAAAGTAGAAAAGTTGGGGACTAGTTTTTATTTTTTGTACTTTTTTGTGGGGCTATTACTCGATACTGCTTTACATAAGCGCTGAAATGAATAATACTTTCTAGATTTACTACCAAAAGATCTTTTCATTCTTGTATTCAACTTCAAAGGAACATCAGTGGCAAAAACCACTTTTACAAAAGTAGGGCTATAAAATAACTTTTTCAAAAAAAAAAATCAAAAGTCCCTAGCACTCTAACTACTCTCATGGTCGTCCTCATCCTCCTCATCATCATCCTCGGCATCATCAGAGCCTCCATCACTGTCATTGGGTGCCTAAGTTGGCAAGAAGTCTGAGACATCAATATTAGGGAAAATAGCATAAATCTTTCTCTGGAGCTCCTCATAACCATTAATAAAAGCATTTGCAAGGCCATTCTCCACGTCCACCTCGGCTCGAGAAGCTCTTTCCTAAGCAACCTTGACCTCTGCCTCTACGGCAACCTCTCTGAGCATGGCCCTCTTGCGGGTCTCTACAAGCTCAGCCTCACTGAGCGTGACCCTTTTATGGACCTTCGCAAGCTCAGCCTCGAGCTTGGATGTCATCCCATGGAATGCCGAAAGCTTAGCCTCAAAACCAGTTGCCCTCTCATGGGTTGCCACAACGTCAACATCAGAAGCCTTGCTAGCAGCTTCGAGCTCGAGGATCCTCCCCTGAGCAGCTAGAAGCTGTTTTTGCACAACATCATAATCCTATTGTAGCTTGGCATGAGAATAATCCCTTGAAAGTAAACACATAGATGTTGTAGAAGCCTGAAGAAAGATAAAAGTCAAAGGAATGTTAGAAACTTAAGAAAGGACTGGAGAAAGGAAGACAACAGACCTTTACCTGAGCCAAGCCTTCCAAAAAAGAGCTAACGATTCCCTCAGTGCCCAAAGCACTAATCTTGCAGACATCGTTGGCAAACACAAATCTCTCAAGTTGATCATTTATAACTGACGTGTTACCCAACATGGAGCTGATCTGAATCGATGCCCTTATGAAAGTTCCCACATGAGGAATAGATGAACAGGGGGGTAGAAGGTATGGCCAACAAGCAAGACTGGTGTAGGAGATGCAATTGAGGGAGTCTTCGATTGAGGAAGCACCATTGGAGGGGTCACTTGAAAGGAGCACACCCGGGGTACCACTAGAGAGGTTAACTGAGGAGAGCTCACTTCGGGCCGCACTGTTGGAGAGGTCACTTGGGAGACGTCGCCCGTCCTCGCCACCTTGGAAAGAGGAGGACTCCTACCAAAGAGGCGAGACCTAATCACCTTTCCATCTACTGCTACAAAGGAAATAAAATGCTACCAGATGAAAACCATCAAGTAAAGGACAAAGGTATAAAAGTAAAGAAAGAAGGTACAAAAGAATCAACTCACCCTTTCTCTTCAAAGAGGAGTTGTTTGACTTCTGGGAGGGAGCAGCAGCCTTAGCACAAACCCCAGAGGAACTCTTGACCCCATCATCTTTGGACATAAGGACTCCAAAGTCTTTTTCAGAATAAGCCCTTACCACCTGCAACTTCCTCACTTGGTCCTTGGAGAGCACATGAGAATCTGTAGGAGGAATGATGAGTAAAAAACAAAAAAGAGCAAAGGAGAGAAAACAAGTGTAAGGCATACCAACTTTCTTTGGAACACCCTATTGTGTTGGTACCAATACCCTATCAGCATCCGAAACCCACTCTCCCCCGATGAATATGAAACGAGACTTCCAACTATGGCAATTAGAAGGCAATCCAGTAATCAACTTGTCTCCTCTCGTGGTAAAATAATACCAACCTCGGTTAAGAGCAAGAGTTTCACTTGGGTAATAAACTGCATGGAATTCACCAGGATAGGCATCCTCATGATGCACCTTCCTCCACAAAACTAAGAAACTCAACAACACTCTCCAACCGTTGGGCGCCAACTGTCAAGGTGTTAGGGAGAAATAATTCAGGATGCAACAAAGGAAAGGAGGAATTGGGAACCTAAGCCCAGCCTCAAGCACCTCCTCATAAATAGAAATGTCACCAGAGGAGTCATCGCAAGCAGGTTCACCCGTCTCGGCTCGAAGACATAGCATAGTCGGAGGAATGTGATAGGCAGAAACAATCCGCAGAATATCAACATCTATATTTAAGGTGCTAGAAATAAAACTTACTTTGAAACCATCATCGTTGAGAACTACCTTGCCTCGGTGCTTCCTGATACGAGGGCGAGAAGAGTTGCCCGAATCACTGCCAGGAAGGCCAAGAATTTGATTTTGAGAAGTTGCACTCGAAGGAACTGGACCATCATGGTCTGCCCACCCGAATGAGGTCGTCGAAGCCTGGGCTCCCAAACTAACTGCCTTTACGCGAGCAGGCTGCTCGCCCAGGCTAGTAGGCACACCCAATTCAGTCCCTTGCTCACCTAAGGTGCTTGGAACGACTGCCAACTCGCTCAGATTAGCTTACTCGCCCAGATCAGCCCATTTTTCTCCTCTTTGCTCGTCTGGATCAGTGCCTGAGGCTCCACCTTCAATGCCCAAATCTTCCTTCACGCGCGCCCCAGCACACCCAACACCAAGCTGCTGCACGCGCCCAGCAATCACGCCCACAACAGCACCTTTTGGCTGCTCGCCAAATGTGTCGTCCGCTGTGCTGTCCCAACCTGTCCATACCAGTGCCCAAAGGGGCGCCCAGGCCATTCCTCAAGTCTTTGTGGTCGCCCAACATTCCTCGATGCTCCACCGTGCAGATAGTGCGCCCAGCCACCCAGACAGCGCCTAAATTGCCCCCAGTCTCTCCTAAATTAGCGCCTAAATCACGCCTAGACTGCTCCAAGTCAACCCCCTGGGCGCCCAAACCGTCTCCATCAGCAAAGGGCAACTCGTCCAACTCACCTCCACCATGGACAAAGGGTAGCTCGCCCAAACCATCTCCACCATGCACAGCGGCGCCTAGAACTCGCCCAAGGTGTCTACCACCTTCAATGCCCATTTCTCTTTCTTGGATATCAATGTCTACTTGCATTCCTTCTTCCTCAATGATAATAGAAGCTTGTATCTCTTCCTCTACAGTCATCATTGATGACTTAGTGCACAAACTCAAGAATCCCTAACCTTGGTTCTCCAAAGATCTCAAGAAAGTCTTGCCCATGTGTTCTTGGAAGATTTCAAGAAGAGCTTCACCTCTTCCTCTCTCAAGAATGAATGAAATGGTAAGAATGAAAAGGGGGTTTACTATTTATAGCTAGGGTTTTAAAATCTTATTGGAGAAGCAAAAAACCCAAAAAGCCCCAAATCACAACCTAGGCTTTTTAAGAATGCAAAAAGGGAAGTGAAAGAAGGGGTTGATATAGCCAATGAAGTCCGGTAGACAAGAGGAGCCTACTGAAAGGGAGGAAATGACCAACTAAAAGGATTATAAAAAAAAAAATCAGATTTTTTACCATAACTCAAAACAAGACTTATTATATACCAAATCGAAGCTTTTAACGAGCTGAGCAAAACTCATTCTGTTGGTAATGAGCTTTTCAAAAAAAAAGTCTAAAAAAGGCCCAGAAACAGATGTTTTGGCTTCTCAAAGTTTTTTTAAAAAAAAAAAAAATCAACTGTCAACTCGCCCAGAACAATGCCAGCTCGCCCAGAACAGTGTCTGTTCGCCCAGCTCTCTGCTCGTTATTTTGACCGTAACTTTTGTTCTGTTATTTCAAATGAGACCTATAATATATTAAATCGAAGCACTCAACAAGCCTTACAAGCCACATAACCTATGGTTGTGATTGATGCTGTTAAAATCCCAAAAAGGCCTAGAAGAACGTGTTTTGGCCTCCCAAAGTTTTGTATATATGTCTGTCAGTCGAAAATTCAAACTCAAAGTGAATGTCCTCTTTTCCAAGTTCCGTCAGACGCAGGACATTCGGGGACAAATGGTGGACCAGGCCTAAATGGCCCAATCCATGTGGAAAGGCCAAAATTAATTAAGAGCCCAAGAAAATAGAAGACCCAGCAAGCCCTATGGGGTCCAAGCCAGTCAAGCCCATCAAGGAGCTACGGAGTCAACCTTCCCTCATCCTTTGACCAAGTCCTTAGGAGAGCATCATACCTTCCTTGCCCGTTGAGAAGAGGAGAGGTCGTTAAGCTATTCAATTACTATTAAAGTCACCTCAATCTGTTATGACTATTAAACGGCCTCAACTTGTTATGACCGCTAGAGTAGCTATTTAATTACTATACTAAATCATTATAAATTGTAATCTCCACCAATACTTGAGGATATCAAACTCATTCAAGATAATTCTCTCATTCACTCTAAAAGCTTGTAAAATTCTACTCTCCCACTAAACTGGAGTTAATAAAATACCGACAACCCTTGTCATTCCGAGTGGACGTAGGTTAACTTGACCGAACCATTATAAACTTAGTCTTCTCTCTCCCTCAACGTTATGGCATCTTATATTGTTTAATTAATAGGTTGTGTGCAAACTAATTTTTTGCATCATCAATTTGTATAGAATAATGCTATTGGGACGTAAAAACCTGAAATTGTTCTTCTTCTTTTGTGAAATCTGATATCATTTCGATGCTAAAATCAAAATAATAAGGCAACTATCACAATTTTCAGATACATTTCTAAAGATAAGCACTACGGCCAGTGATACTGCAAAGCATAATTATTGTTGATGAAGAGATACAATCCATCACGATTCACCCGCCAAATACAGTTACTCTCAGCGCACCTACCAAAGTCTCTCTTGGTCTCGAATATGTCGAAATTTCCATGCAAATTCCCCGCGCTCATGTCACAGAAATAACTCTCACTTTTCTTGAGAATGATCTGAGAGGTCCAGGTGAAGCTCTTTCCTTGTTGGATGGTCTTCGTCCCGAGATCGTTACCTTGTGAGTGGCAATGGTGGGTTAATGGGGCTTGCATGTTGTTGATGATCAGCACATTAACTTCACCTAGGTTGAGTGAATTTACTGAAGAAGAAAGTATAGTGAGAAGGAGAGAGATTATAGGGAAAAGAAGCTTGAAAGAAGTCATGTTCCTGCTAGGGTAGCTTTGAGGCAAGTGATGGTTATTGCCAATCTGTTGAAGTTTATGTTCTTATATAGGCCAAGGTGAGATTATGTTTTAGTATTCCAGGAAATGAATAAAGTAACATAAATGTTAACAGATTACTGCTATCTAGGAGATAATTAAGTTTAGATTAATGGCCACACCCCGCCTGCGGTTAAATGTGGGTTTGAACTTCGTTCGTCGTTCCCTTCCTGTAATAGTTTTTAACTATAAAGTGCGGATTATGATCTTATCGCTATTACAATTTTACTTGATAAAAGATCAAAGTCAAGTGGAATCTGCTATTTATAAATGGTGTTCTTATATTTATAGCCTAAAGTATCGCGAGGAATTTATCCTTCACAAATTCCCTAGTTTTGGTGTGAATTGCCTTCAACCGGACCAGAGTAGGAACTAGTCAAGGTGTGCGCAACTTGACCCAGACACCCCTGAATGTTGAACCCAAAAAAAAAATATCAATGTTATTGGAAGCTAATTTATTGACTTAATTCACCATAACCATTGGATTAATTGTAGGTCCCATCAAATATTAAAATTTAATGTTAATTCAATAGTTATAATAAAATTATACCATTATGTCAAAAAATTAAATCAATTTTTTAAATCCAAATAACATTACTCTTACAATAATCAAGGTAATAATTGAGTTTATGAAAGAGCAATGCTATTTATTGGGACCTAATTCACTATGATCTTTGGATTGATTGTGGGCTCCATTAAATATTAGAACTTGGTGTTAATTTAATGATTTCAATAAAGCCACATCATTAGGTCCTGTTAGATTTTTAAGTCCAAATAACATTTTCTTGGCCAGCAGTAAAGTGCGGATTAAGATCTCTTCTCTATTACAATTTCATTCACCAGCCACCACAAATTTATGTGGGACCCACTACTTATAAGTGGAACCCCACCCCGCCCATATGTGATGACTGATCTGCAATTGAATAAAATTGGAGGAAAATATATCGGAGATGATACGAATTTTATTTAAGTTACTCTGCCAAGATGTGTTACCAAATCTTTTTATCTTGAATTTAATGTATAAATATTCTGCCAACCAAAAAGCTTATGCTAAAGTGAAAAGTGAAAAGTGAACTAATGTTGTTTTTTGCTAGGAACTCTATTTAATATTTGAATATTTTTTCCGATGTATCAAAAAAAAAAAAAAAGTTAAACAAGAATGCGGTTATCCTCTTTCAAGGGAAAAAATATATACACGTAATTGTTGACGACGTATTTATCGGGATGTAATTTAACTTATTAGATAATAAAATAAATCTATGTAATAAAATAGGAAGTTCTTGAAACATAGTAGAACAGCAGTCCAGATCACTCTAGGGCTAACATTTTAACAACAATAATATTTTAATTACAGTAATTATTTTAACTATTACCTATATTATAATTAAATATAGTTTTTAGGGGACAAAATTTGAATGCGTGAACTTAGGGTCCAACAGTGAAACGGTGTGGATTAAAATAACCGTTAACCTTAATTTAAAAATAGTTTAAAAAACAAATCATTAAACATACGTACGGTCCCAAATATAGGCCGCTCAATATAGAGAATTAAATCTAGCCTAGAGGAAATTGACCCAATGGTCCAGGCCTAAATAAACCACCAAAGTGGGTCAAATAAGCCCACATCTATCTATGTAATAAATTATAATATAATTTAAATCTTAAAAGATAAATAAAATAATTTTTATTTTTCGTGGTTAAGATTTTTTTAAATTTTACTTTAAAGTAAATCCGACTGCTAATATTATAACCTCAAATTTAATAGGAAATAGGCCCCTAAGAGTGTATTTGAGTGACTTTTTAAAAATACTTTATAATATCTCATAAATACTTTAAAAAAAAATATAGTATTTGGAACCGTCCTACCATCCCCACTAATACCACCACCGCCAACCCACCACAACAACTACCTCCACCACCATCACAGCCACCCCAACCGCCCCACCCCCACTACCACCACCATCACTGTTACCGCCATCCCACCACCACCTTTGTCACAACAACCACCATTGCCACCCACCACCATCATCACCTCTACCATCGCCCCACCACTACTGTTGCCAGGTATATTTCATGTCCTTTATTTCACTACTGCTCATACCCAAAATGAATTATTTTTTTTGTAGAATATTTTTTTGGTGGATGCTTTTCTCTCTGTCCTTGTTAGTAAAATTTTGGAATGATGCAGAGTTCAAACTTGCCAAAAATTAATATGCAAGATGGATGCATGCTGTCCATGAATTGGCTTTATTTCATACATTGATGCATAGGGATTTACATTGATCTAGAATAAGTCCACATTACTGGCACGGCTGCATTCTTATTGGCTGATATGAACATATTTTCATAATATTCTTTATTATCCATGCACTTTCTGTAAAAACAACTACAATTAGCTTGAAACTATATAAATGGGTCGAATTAAGGTTTCCCATGCATTTAACATGAATGCATCATTGGTTACCCTTGTATTACTGTGGAAAAACTGAGATAATAACTCCTACATTCCCAAATGCAACATTGGTGTTTAGACCAACTTGCAAGTTTGCAACCTATCTTTAGCCAAAAAATCTTGTGTTAGTTGTAGTTTCTACCTTATGGTAAAGAGGGAGATGATGCTGATGATTGCTGCTCTCAATTATTTATTCTGACAAAGAGAATTTCCCGTATGCAACTTTTCAGTTAGTGTTGCAACATTTTCTTGTGAAAATGAAAATAGATCATTTCCAAATGCGAAACTTATTCTTAAGCATCTCATAATCCAGCAGCTATACTTATCTGTTGCAGAACCATGATCTATTATGTGCTTAGTTGCTGAATCATATGCTCCCATTTACTAGCACTATATGGTTTTTTGAAGCTCCTGCTTTTAGGCACATCAGATCTAACATATCTATATATGGATCTATTACTCAGATGATAGGGGTTTACTTGATATTTTGCTAGATCAGTTAAATTTGCTTCATTTTTTCAAGTTTTTTGCTTCTTTTTGAGGCCTTAAATTTGTTTGGTATGATGTTTTGTGTCTCATAACTTCTAAGAAATCTATGTTTAAACAATTCTTGTTCTGTTGTGCCATTGACAAGTTGATGTCATGATGTTCAGGATTGCTATGTGTGCATCATTATAGGATATTGTGAAGGAGGGGACATGTAAGTTCTGTTTCTTTGTTAAATGAGTTATTTAAAATGTGTTCTTGAAGGAATATAGACTATATAGTAGACCCAATGTTGAAATATTCTGTTTTTTGTCTATTGGAGTGACTTTTGCATATTGTCACTGTTTTTCATGTAGGGCAGAAGCTATTAAAAGAGCAAATTGTGTTCATTTTCCTGAAGAGGTTGTTAGCTGGCAGTGAAGATTATGCTCTCCCTCCAATTTTTGTTCTGCATATTTCCATGTTGATTGGAGCTGATGTTCCCATGGTGGAGTCCAGGCATAATGCGTCCATGATACTTTTTAAAATTTGATTGATAATTTATTACTGTATTTTTTTCTTTTTTGTAACAGATGAATTCTAGACTTCTACATTAAAGTGACTTACGAATTATCTTTTGGTTATGTATAAAAATATTTTGGGAAATTTATATGTAGATTATGTTGTTGGATATTTTGATGATTTGTATAACTTTTATTAAGTGTATTATATTTTATGTTTTTGTTAGTATGGTATTTGATGTTAGTTTGTGTTCGTTGTTGAATGAAAAAGATGTGAAATGTATTAATTGTGTTAGTTTTTTATTAAACACAGGTATTATCGACGTACAAGTGAAAAATTTTATTGAAATATCATTTTTTATGAATTATTTTTTTTTTTAAATGAACTTCTTTGTGATGAAATTAAAATCGTCACGAAAAATCATAGAAACAATCTTCTTCGCGATAATTTTTATATGTCGCAAATGTATTTATTCAATTATTTTTTATATTTTTATTTATGTAAAATATTATTTGCGACGATTTTTTTACGTTGCGAAAAATTAATTAAATTATTTTTTTGTACATTTTTTATTTATGGCAAAAAGTATTTACGACGATTTTTTTATGTTGCTAAAAATTAATTAAATTATTATTTTTTACATTTTTGATTTATGCAAAAAAATTATTTGCGACAATTTTTTTACAAAGCAAAAAATTAATTAAATTATTATTTTTTACATTTTTTATTTATAAAAGTATTTGCGGCAATTTTTTTTACACTGGTGGAATAGATTTTAGCGACGTTATTTTTAAATTTTAGCGATGTTTTTTATTTATCGCAAAAAATAATTAGCGATAATTTTTTTAATTTAGTGACGAAAAAAATCATCGCAAAAAATGATTTTTGTTGTAGTCCACCACCACTGCCACTCTATCACCACCGTTATTGTCCCACCATAACCCCTACCACCGCTGCCACCCTACCATCACTGTTCCTGCCCCACCATCACCCCCTACCACCACCGCCACCCCCACCCAACAACCACCACCATCGTCGCCGCCGCCATCACCCACCACTATTGCCACCGTCATCGCCCACCATTACTGCCACCTACTGTCATCCACACCTACCACTATCACCACCACCATCATTCGTCATTACTCATCACATTATCGCCCAGAATAATCCATCGTCGCCCATTACCACCATTACCAACTATCATAACTGTCGCTACTCATGGCTACCACTACAACCATCGTCACCCAAAACCAACCATCACCGTTGTTACTCACGGCTGCCACCATCACCAAGATCGTCACCACCCACCACAACCATCACCGTCTCCTATCATCACCACCATTGTCGTCTACCACCACTACCATTGTCGCCTACTACCACTACCATTGTCGTCCACTATCACTACCACTACTCACTCCTATTACAACTGAAGTTTAAATTTTTTTTCTCTCTCTTCTATATTTATGATTTGATTTTTAGTATGAATACAAATATGTTTATTATAGATTATTTTTTTTATTATTATGTACCTTTAGGCATAGGTACGACAAGTGCTCGATCAACTTTGCACATTCCATTCATCTATTGGCTTGGCATGCTAGCTACCTTGATCCAAAAATTGTTATAGCCATATTTTATTCTCAACGAAAAAACCTTTGGGTGTAGAAGGAAGATATATACTTCATTGAGTTTTTCTTAAACATGCACTTGTAGGATTACAAAAAAATATATAATTTTTTTAGATCATGTTACAACTTTTTAGTATTTAATTAAAGGTGCGTTTGGTAACATTTTCATTTTTATGTTTTTTTTTATAAGACAAACAGAACTAAGTTTTTTTTTGTGATAAAAATTAAAATTTTAAAACATGTTTGGTAGTAATTTATATTTAAAAAATTGTGAAAACAAAAATAAAAAATATGTTTGGTATTATACCAAAAATTCATCACTCAAACCCCACCACTCAATCCCACTAACCTCCTAAAACCACCATCCAACCCCACTAACCACCCAACCCCACCACCGAAACCAACAACCCACTCCCACCATTGAAAACCACAACCACAACCACCCCACTGACCACCACCGAAAACCACCACCCAACCCCATCCCTGAAAACCACGCCCAAAAACCCACCCCCAAACCACCACCACCCCCACCACCGAAATCCACAACCCCAATCCCCCAAAATCCACCACTTCTCTATATATACAGACAATATACATAGATTTAGGGTTTGAGAAGACGATCGAGAGGGGCGATGGCATGTTTCCCCCCCTTTTCTACTTCGACTTCGCCTTTGGCAGAGAGAGAGAGAGAGAGACGACTAAGAAGGGTGATGGAGATGACTTCGGCTTTGTCTTTGGCATCGAGAAACAGAGAGAACTGAGAGGGGCGATGTCGATAGAGATGACTTCTCTTCGTCTTCAGCCTTTGGCGTCGAGAGAGAGAGACATGGGTTTTTTATACTCGAAACAAAATTCATATTTTGTTGCTAAGGAGGATCGAAACCAAGACCTCATTAAATCCTTTTATCAATCGCGCATTTGTTTTTTTTTTTTCTGATGTTTTCAAAAACATTATTTTTTATGTTTTCATATTTTACCCTTGTTTTCAAAACAGAGCAATTAAAAAAATGAAAACATTCACCAAACATGTTTTTATTTTTTTTTACCATAAAATGAAAAAAAAAAAAAACAAAAACCACCCGTTACCAAACACTACCTAAGTTACGATTTAATAACTTAATAGGGTGATGTAACCCAACCCCCAAAAATTAGTATTCGACAGTACAATAGCGAAAACAATTTTGTTACCATTGAACTGTCCAATAAATAATTGTTGGTTTTTTTTTTCTAGGTATGTGAGTTCATTTTCTAGAAAAGATTAAGGAAAAAACCTCAGGGAAAGAATTTATAAGACCACTTCTTCACACATTAGGAACTAAACGAGTACATGCACTTCAAATTAAAGACAACTAAAATGACCTTGAGGAAATAAAACAAGCAAAACCTAACCATTGACGACGATAACCAATACAAAACTATAGCAATACAGTAGGGACAGCAAAACACCAGACAAATCTACGGCAGGACACCACCACCGACTCCGCCTGCAGCTCCACCACCAGCACCACCAACTCCACCACCTAGACCACCAGCGCCACCACCCAGACCACCTGCGCCACCAAGTCCACCTGCACCACCAAGCCCGCCTAGTCCTCCAATCCCACTACCACCACCGAGTCCACCTGCACCACCAAGTCCACCAATGCCTCCAAGAGTGGGGAGCACCCCGGCGTAGCCACCAACGCCAGCAAAGCCACCAATGCCACCGTAAGTAATGAAGTTCTTCTCATCATCCACTCCAGCGCCGCCGGTTGCGGTGGCTTTGGGTACATTCTCAGTGTTCTCACGGGGTCCATTGGTGTCACTATGTGTTGTGACAGTGGGAATATTTCTAGCAGTGGCATGCACTACTACTAGTGCAAGCACAAACACTACGTACCATTTTGCCATTCTCTCTCTTCTCCCTCTCTCTCTCTCTCTCCCCTTCACACACACACAGAGATACAGAAGAGAATTGGGGTAGTGTGGAATGTTGATAAGAAGTGCTATTTATGGAGCGATGGAGAGGTGGACAGTTGTGGATATTGAAGGAGTATAGTAAATGTGGCATTGAAATTAGCTTTAACAGTCTCGAGAATAGCATCACTGTCAGGTCAGAGTTAGGTGAATCAATAGAAGAGATAATTAAGGTTTGTAATGTCAACACACCAAAAACAAATGAGTAAGGTAGATACTGTCTGTCGTGGGATTCAAGAGGCAAGTGATCATGCTAACTATACCTAGTAAACTTGACACAATATGAAACTCTAGACTGCTTATATACACACACACACACAAATATATGCAAATGGTCAAGTGGTGTGGAGTTAGTGTTAGAGCGTTACACAAGCATACAATGATGGATCTAGGGGACGGACAAGGCGATCTTGTCCGACCAATACTTTAAAAAATCTCTTATATAATGGTGTTCGAGAAAAATTTTCTCATACTACATAACCTCGTCTATTTTTCCAACATCTAAAAGGTCGTCCCTTTATACTTTCGCCTAATTTCTTAAATCCGTCATTGCAGGCACAAGTTCCATATTATACAAGTGCATGCACTATATATTCTTATAACTTTCTTATTATGGCAATTTGTTATACTATGATGGATTTAAATTAGTAAAAAAGTTGATATCTGTTACAGATCAAAAGCTGTGGACATAGTGGTTGGCCAACATTTCCATATTAAATTGAGCTTTGGATATGGTATGGGCATAGTTTTAATATATATATCTAACAAAGGGCCTATATCCTTTGAGAATTTTTGTCTGTCTTGTTATATATTGGGGCTTTCCTTTGCTGAAAATCCACAAACAACATTTTGGAACTTCCACAATTTTTAACATTATGGTTGTAATTTATGGTCATCGTTTTATAATTATCCTCAAAAAAATTATTTTGTTAAACAAACCACATATGCAAATTACAAAGCATCATTATAGAATGACAAGAAACTATAAAACCTGATGAGCACAAATTTGACTGGGCTAGGCCCAATGAAAACAATCCGAAAAAGTTCGAAGGAAAGTCCAAATCGAAACTGGATCGAGTCATTGGAAAGGAAGACATCAAGAGGTCAACACCCAAAGCCCCAAGGCCAACGCCCAAGAGACTTGGCAGCCCTTGGGCGCCGCCTGGATTGGCCCCTTGGGCGCCTCCCTCTTTGCTCCTCTTCACCTTAGAACTCCAATCCAAGTCCAGGCTCAAGACGAGGATCAAGTCCAATCCAGCTGAGAGTCCTCCTCCGAAAGAATAGGAGCACAAGGGAGTAAACATCGGGATAAGCGCAAAGATCTCCTACCATAACTATACTTACCAAAGTAGTAGAAGTCTACTCACCCACGTCACCGCCTTACCCTAACTATATAATGTAAGTCCTCTCAACATTAAGGACACGCCTCTGAAATCTCTACGCACCCCCTGCACTCATTGTTTTTTCTCTGTCTCCCCAAAAAGAATTGTATCTCTCCGGAGTACTATCATTCATCAATAAAGAACATAGGCCACCGCTGTCATTCTCAAAAGTGGAGTAGGTCATCCGAGACCGAACCACTATATATACTTGTGTTGATCCATTATTTACTCTTAATTGTCATTGATTGCTTATTTGTCACTCATTAATTGCTCATTAATCACACTTGTTAATATCCTTAACTGTTGATCTTGCACAAAACAATTTTGTGCATCATCAATTTGGCGTCGTCTGTGGGAACTCGACAAAGTTTTTACTACCTTTCAACCTTCTTGCAATCCATGGCAATCACGACCCGAGCAAGGTCTCATCAACCGGGAGACAACAACCCTGCGCACCAGGAAGAGGCTCCACCTCCCCTTGCACCTTCAGAACCCTCTGCCATGGTGCCTCCCACCGTTGGACAATAGCAGCAGCTTCTACAGACTATGCAACTACTGGTGAAACAAAACCAGAAGATGATCCAGTTAATGCTCGACCAAGGGGGCATCACCCATCATCCCGCAGGAGGAGTCCCGCTCCCTCCAACGGGAGAGGAGCCGTTACCTGTCTCTTCTGGGCGTCAGGTCCCTCGCCAGAATGTTCCAAGACAACGCCAGGGAGCCCCTCGTCAAGCGATCCCTCCTTAACGCACAGGGAGCGCACGTGTTCCCCTTTCGCATATGCCTATACATGAGGACGAAGAAAAAAGTTAATATGGAGACCATGAGAGCCAGAACCATCACTCGATCGAAGGTGTCCCCAACTTGTGGGATGAGAAGATCAGGAAAGTGCAGGACCAGCTTGGTAATGCCCTCAACGCCATCAAGGCACAGACGCCTCAAACTGTGGACTATTTGGTGAGGCGCACTGATACTCCTTTTATTACTGACATTATTAATTACTCGTTGCCTTCGAAGTTCAAGATGCCCACCATCGAGATTTTTGACGGCACCAAAGATCCCCTTGACCATCTGAATACCTACAAGTCCCTCATGCAACTCCACAATGTGCCTGAAGAGATCATGTGTAGGGCTTTTCGTACCACCTTAAAAGGGTCTGCTCGCCAGTGGTTCTCCAAGCTCAGGCCTTCCTCCATCCGCTCCTTTGCGGAACTAAGTAGGTCATTCGTCTCCCACTTCATTGGGGGACGTCGCCATCAAAAACTAGTGACCCACCTACTCACCATCAAGCAGGATAGGGAAGAAAGCCTTCATGACTACCTTGTCCGCTTCAATGAGGAGGTGTTCCAGATTGATGAGCCAGATGATAAGGTGGCTTTGGCTGCCTTTATTGTCAGTCTTCGCACCTCCAGCTTCATGTTCTTAGTCCTCAAGAAGCCGCCCTCTAGTATGCCCAAACTCCTGTCTAGGGCACAAAATTATATGAATGCCGAGGATGTCACCAAGGCCCGTTGGGATGAGTCTTCTCGAGGAGGGGATAAAAGAAAAGCCAACCGGGAAGATAAAAGGGAGACCGAGAATAAGAAGAAGAAAGCCGAGAGAGTCTCTGTAAAAGACTGCCTCAGACCACTGCCCCCGAGGGACCAACGATCATTCACTCTACTCAATGCCTCAGTAGAGCACATCCTACTCCATATACAGGATGACCCTGTCATCCGTTGGTCAGGGAAGATGAGGTCTGACCCCAAACGCAGAAATCCCAATAAGTATTGTTGCTTCCACCGCAACCATGGACATGACACAGATGACTGTTTTTAGTTGAAGAAGTAGATTAAGGAACTTATCCAGCGAGGTCACCTTAGACAGTATGTGGCTGGTCGAGGACCAGCTCCACCGCACGAAGAACGAGAACGCCAGCAGCCCCTTGGTGAGATTCATACCATTTCCAGAGGATTAGGAGGAGGAGGTGACTCTAACTCTGCCAGAAAGGCGCACGCCCGTAGAGCTAGACAGACGGAGGCTCATGACTCCCGCCCAATGAAGACCCCACGACACAGGGAGGAAGAGGTCATTACTTTCTTAGACAGAGACCTTGTAGGGGTCCAAGTCCCTCATGATGACTCTTTAGTTTTGACCTTGATGGTGGCCAACTATCAGGTGAAGAGGATCCTAGTCGACAGTGGCAGCTCAGCCGACATCCTCTTTGCCACAGCCTACAACAACCTTCACCTCGGCAGAGAGAGACTACAGCTGGTCCGGACTCCCTTGGTTGGCTTCTCGAGAGAGAAAGTCCAGCCCTTGGGATCCATCACCCTGTCTGTCACAGCAGGAACTGCACCCATGACTTCTACTATTATGGTAAATTTTATCGTTCTTGACTGTCCCTCTACTTATAATGTGATTATTGGACGCCCATCCCACAATGCCTTAAGGGCAGTACCCTCTACTTACCACATTCTCCTCCGCTTCCCAACCTCCAATGGGATTGAAAAAATAATAGGAGATCAAATCTCAGCCAGAGAGTGTTATGTGACCTCTATGAGGGCTAGGAGACCGCATGAGACTCTCCAAGTTGAAGTCCTTGACCCCAGAGACGACAGTACCTTAGAGAGGGGTGAACCAGCAGAGGAGCTCCGCCCAAAAATACTAGATGACAACCTCCCGAAGAGGAAATTATACTTAGGCTCCTTACTCTCCCAGGAGCAAACATCTGTCTTATTAGATTTCCTTAGAAGAAACGCGGACATTTTTGCTTGGTCCCATGAAGACTTGGAAGGAATTGACCCCGAAGTGGCCTCTCACCGACTCAATGTTGACCCTAGATATAAGCATGTCTGCCAAAAGTTGAGAAGTGTGAGCACTAATAGGGGGCAAGCCATAGAGAAGGAGGTAAACAAACTCCTGACGAACGGGTCAGTGAGGGAGGTAGCCTACCCAAAACTGGCTATCCAATGTGGTAATGGTGACAAAGGCCAATAAAAAATGGCGCCTCTGCGTGGACTTGACAGAGCTGAATAAGGCTTGTCCAAGGACAGCTATCCTCTCCCATGCATCAACATACTAATTGAACTCCTAAGTTTTCTGGACACCTACTCTGGGTACAACCAGATTAGCATGTTCCCCTCGGACCAAGAGAAGACCTCGTTCATCACCCCAAGAGGCACTTAATACTACAGGGTGATGCCCTTCGGGCTCAAGAACGCTAGTGCCACATACCAGCATCACGTCAACAGGATGTTTGAAGTCCAAATTGGAAAAATGATGGAGGCCTATGTAGACGACATGTTGGTGAAGAGCACATCAGCGACAGATCATGTAACGCACCTCCAAGAGACCTTCAATGTGTTGAAAGCTTACAAGATAAAGTTGAATCCTGAAAAATGCACCTTTGGCGTCAGTTCAGGGAAGTTCCTAGGCTTCATAGTCCACGAAAGGGGCATTGAAGCCAACCCGGATAAAATCAAAGTTGTCTCGGAGATAAAGTCCCCTGCCTCAATCAAAGAAGTCCAGCGCCTCAACGGGAGAGTATCCACCCTCAACAGGTTTGTTTCT